CCCTTTTCTCACTGGGACACGAGGCTTTGGAAGTTAGAGGGCAATAATTTCCTTGTTTGATGTAATCCCAGATTCATTCCTGATCCCACATCACTCTCTGTGAACTGGAAGCAATTCCAGTCACCAGTGATGTTACTTTTTTTGTGCACAAACCTGGGGAATTGAGGAGGAATTCCCAAGACCCCAAACACAAGGATAAAGCTGTACAAGGGTTCTGAGCAGCTGGTGGGTGACAGAGGCACCTCAGTGTCACCAGGGCCTGGTTCCAGCAGAGCTCAGGCTCCCCTGGCCTGGGGCGGGCTGGATTTGCTGAAATTCTGTACTTGGGGACTCTCAGCAGGGTCTGTACCTGTGTCATGGTCTGGTTCCCCCTGGCAGGGATGTGCTGCCTGCTGGGGAACGGGAATCCATCCTGGAAAATTTAGTTGGTTCCAGAGGGTCCTTCAAATCCCACAGTTGTGTGCATGAGAGCATCCTCAGTCAGGTAAAACGCTGCAGCAGAGGGCTCATCATCTTCTAGAAGCACAGAGGGAGCTTGGGCTCCAAATTGAGGCATTTTGACTAAAAATGAACAGGATGAATCCAGCCTAAGGCTGTGCCTGTGTGTGATCTCTGGTGATGGAAGAACTGGGCTGGATCTGCCCTGGTTGTGAATCTGACACCAAATAATCTTAAGCTGTTCCTCCTTCCTTGGTGGTTTACTCCCATGTTCTGCCTGATTTTTGGGAGTTTGGCTTGAATGCTGATTTTCTGTGGGCTGAACACGTGGCACATTGCCTTCACCGTGGCTGCTGTGGAAATGGAGGAGGAAAAAAGTGAATTTTTCTGAAAATGGGACTGCATCATCAGCACATGAACCCTGTCTGCGTGCTCTGGGATGACCCTGGGATCCTGGAACAGAACAAATCCCAGGAAATCAGTGCAGAGGAGCTGGCTGAGGGCAGCTTTTTCACTTTGCTGGATTTCCCTGCTGCCTCCATAATTCCTGGGGCAAGCAGTGCTGCCCTGGGGGTTCTCACTTGTTTGTTGGGTTTCTGAAATTTAGAGGAGCTCGAGGGCCTCCTGCCCTGTCAGGTCACTGTGGCTGCTTTCCAGGGGTCAGGTTTAAAGCAGGGAGTTGAAGGCATGGCTTCTTTTGAGGAAAACAGGGAAAAATCAGGATCTTTTGGGTGGAGCTGTTAAAAATTGGAAGCACTTTTGAGGAGTAGCCATCTGTTCTGAGGAGCTCCCAACCACGTCAGTGGTTCAGGGACCTGGGAATAGATTTTAACAGAGCTATCTAAAAATTGCTGATGGATCTGCCCTCTGGGAACTCATCCTGGTGCTTTTCAACCTTGTTAAACCTTTCCATTCTCAGCAATGTGTGTGCCTGAGTCCAGCTGAGCTGTTGGTGAGAGCAAACCCCCTTTATTTCAGTTTATTTGATATTTGAGATTCCTTTTTGTGCTCCCTGGTTTCTGTAGTGATGAGCAGCAGTCTCTGCCTCATCCCCTCTACACCAGCTATGAATTTATAAACCTCTCTGGTTTTACTAAGAGTCTATTTAGGGAAGTTATTCCCTATTTCTCACCTTTCTCTGACTTCTCCAACTAAACAGAGTCACAGAAACATGGAATGGGTTGGGTTGGGAGGGGCCTTAAAGCCACAGTGCCACCCCCAGGGACACCTTCCACTGTCCCAGGTGACTCCAA